AAAGGAACGAAACGCAGCGCTCGATAAAGCTTGGACATATACAGGACGTCTATAGTCGCACGCCATGATCTTATACGACACCGCTCACAAACACGCATTCTGTCATCAGGTCGTACTAGATATGTAGTAGATGCACTCGCTTGAGCGAGTTGGATTCATGATCATTGATATTTCGTCTTTGCTCGGGTACAGGTTCTTCTGGAATTTTGCGTTCAATCAGTGGAATCAGAAGGGCTGTACCTACAGCAAACACTATAGGGAGTTTGGAGAAGCGGTATGAGATTAGCAGAAGGTGGACGATGGGAGGGGTGAATGTACTAGCAAGGTACTGCGTGAAGCGTTTCTGACCGCAGTAGGTGTGAAAGCTGGACAGTAACGGAAGACCAAAATGCGTGCATTGCTGATAGGTTTAAAAATAGGAAATGGGGTATCATGTGCTCCTTCACCCAAACGCCAATAAATGCAAGAGCAGTGTCGCAAGGCGGTTGTCAATCAATGCATGGACGTGCGATCAATCCGAGTCGTACCCGACCAACGCCCCAAGCAAGGCCGGCTTCTTCGTCGGCACTGCGGTTTCTGTTTTCTCCTTCTCTTGGCCTGATGTTGATAAGGGTGCAACTGCATCCATCGTCTCAGCATCTCTCTTCCTCTCTCAATATACCAAGATTGACTTTCGACGTCCCTGAAGCCTCCTTGTTGAGGAATGGATCGACCACAGCCCTCGTATTGCCCACGAGCGTCTGCTGCAACCCCAGTCTCGACTTCTCTCTCGCTATATCCGCCTTGAGCTTCTTTGTCTTAGGGGCCGGCTCAACGTCCTTCTTATTTTTCCACCTTCGCTTCACCAAACAGTGGTTTCCACGACAGCGCTTCCAACGACCTCTCGTCAGCCGTAGCCGCAGCGCCGAACTCCACCAACCCAGCCCGCGTACGATCCGCCTCCGTCTCATCCACAATATCCATCCCCAAACTAAATTTATTCTGCATTCCCTCCTTATGCTTATCCTCTTGTTTCCAGACCTTCCTCTTCCCGCGAAACTCCCTCCTCAACTTCGCATTGATATCGTAAGGATCTCTCCAAACCTCTGCTTTATCGTACAACTCCTCCACTCTCTCTCTATTCTTCTTCTCAATCCCTTTATCCTCCATCTTGCCTTCTAGATTCGCAAAAGCATCGTCCCTCCTCTTCTGCCTCTCTTCCTCCGTCAGGAACTTGAGGTCGCCGTCCGCCGTATCATCCTTCACAGTAGGCCCATAGTCCCGCCGTCGCGCCCCTTCAACGACTACGTATTCGCTATTCTGTGGATCGGTTCGTATCTCCCACCACCCGCCGCACGCACTGTGCTTCATGCGGAAACTCCATATGGGTGTGCTATGGTAGTTCCCTACTTTTTTCTTTTCGGCGTTGAAACGTACGCCTTGGCCAATGATGGCGGGTGGAGTGCAGTGGCTGCACCACACGGCGAAGGGGAGTTCGAAGCGGACGGTCAGGATGCCTTGGGTGATCTTGTTGGCGCGTTTGCCGAGCGCGTGGGAGGAGTTGTTGAAGCTTGGTGGGTTCGAGGCGTCGGGCGGGTAGTACCGCCCCATGTTGAAGCCCTGCATCGTGGCAGGTGGTGGAGGGAGTTTTGCGCAGCGTGCGCTGGATGGTGGTGGTGGACTCTTGGTGCGTGAGTGATGGAGTCGCGAACTTTGGCCGCGGGAGTGGATGACGTAAGCGAACAGCCTTGCTATGGATGCGTCGCTACAGTCACGCGACGGGGCTCTTTCACTGGAAGATGCCGTGTGACGTCATTGACTTCTGCATGTGCGTCTAGCTAACCCTTCGCGCACATGCATCAAACTTCCTGACTCGGAAGGTCAATTAAGGTTGCTGTTGATTGCGGCACTAAAAGGCTTGTCTCACAACAGTTCGGCGACGCTTATCTCCGAGCCCTGAGATCAATACATGTACAGTTGCAAATCATCACACACAGGAAATTCGATGAGTAGAAACGGAAGAATATTCGTGATCGTATTGTTCGGATGTTCGGTCTATGCTAGCCTTACGTCCAAACGCCGTGGAACCTCAGGCTATGTTGCCTTAATGGCAACAGCTTTTTATCAATACGGATATCCTGCTCCCCCTCTTCCTCCTCGTGGGATGACCATGCTTGAATCAATCGACCATCTAAGCCTCGTCCGTGATGAGCTTAGTGATCTTGCCGATAGCGATCGTCTGACCCTGGTCACGGAGGGTGAAACGTCCCAGCTGCGGGTAGTCTTCGAATCGCTCGACACAGATGTTTCCGGCTGTACCAGTGATTTGCAAGCGCGCGATGATGCTCATGCCCTTAGTAGCGAATCCTGGTGCCTTCTTCGATTTCCGTCCAGTGCCCTTCTCCAACTTGTGCAATAGGGCGGTGATGGTAACCTCTTCCTGTGCGGCATGGACGTGGAGCACGCAGTTGAATCCCGCTGTCAGGATAGACTTGATGTCGAGCAGCACGACCTGGGCCTCGAACTGGGAGACGCAGTGGACAGGACGCTTTGGTGAGCACAGAACGTATCCCTAAACATTGGAGTTAGCAAGCGATCAAAGCATAACATCCGGATTTATCTTACAGGCAGAATGTCTTCTTCTTCTACACCACGGAGTCGCACACGGATTTGGTCACCGCAGGTCGCGCCTGGGATTTCCTCTTCTTGTTCACCGTACAAAGCGGAGATGTGAATGGTTTGTCGGTTGGGCATCATGAGGTACCTAAATTTCGTTAGTATGATGGTATTCATCATTTCCGACAGCATCACTTACTTCTGTTCCTTCTTGATGATACCGGACTCGATCTTGCCCTCAATCATGGTACCCATGTCCTTGTACTTGGCGGCGATGGGCATCATGAAAGGCGCGTTGAGCTTACGCTCGAGCGCTTGCATGTTGTCTAGGTATTCGAGCAGAGATGGGCCGTCGTACCAGGGAGCCAGGTCCTTGGGCACACGGGTCTTGATACCTGTGAATGTTTGCGCGCTGACCGGCATCATGCTGATGTCTGTCTTTGGGTTGTACCCGAGACCCTTCAAGAACATGACCACCTTGTTGGTGCACTCCTTGAAACGGTCCTCTGACCACTCAACAGTAGGGTCATCCATCTTGTTGACGACGATGAGAATCTTGTTGACACCCTGTGTCTTGGCCAACATGGCGTGCTCTCGGGTTTGTCCACCCTTCTCGAAACCGGTCTCGTATTCTCCCTTACGTCCAGAGATGACAAGAATACCCACATCTGCTTGTGAGGCGCCACTGATCATGTTCGGCACGTATGTCTTGTGGCCGGGTGCGTCCAGGATAGAGTATCGTCGCTTCTCCGTCTCGAAGAAACCTCGGCCAACCTCGATAGTCTTACCCTGCTGTCGCTCCTCCTTGTTCAAGTCAAGTGCCCACGAGATGTACCATGTTTCACGACAGCGTCCTTGGCTTCCTTCTTGTACTTGTCAAGTGTTCGCTCGTCCACCATGCCAGTCGAGATGAGAATGCTTCCGCCGAGAGTGGACTTTCCTGCGTCAACGTGGCCCAAGAAGATGATGTTGACGTGCTCCTTTCCGTAAATCTCGGCAAGGGTGGCCTCATCTACAACTTCGTCCATTTCCTTCTCGACGTCCTGTGCCTTGGCCTTCTCCGCAGCCTTCTCCTTCGGTGTCGGGCTGTTGCGGCCAGATGAAGGTGTTGGCGAGGTCCTGCCAGAGCCTCCAGATGCCGGAGTGGGCTCTCCAGTCTTCTCGATGGCCTTCGCAGCGGTGACCTTGGTTCCGGCCTCAGCAGTGCCCTTCTCCTTGTCTGCCTTCTCTTTTGCGGCCGATGGAGCGGCGGGTGTGCCCAGGCTCAGGACCTTGGTGCCGCCTGCCTTCTCAACCTTTGGTGTTGTGGTGTCGCCTCCGATAGACAAGACTTTTGCCTTAGGTGCGCTGTCGCCACCAATCGAGAGAACCTTTGCCTTGGGCGCCTCCTTCTTGGCCTCGGCGGGTGCCGCACCCTCTGAACCAGCCATATCGGTGTCGCCTCGCTTTGCTATCCGTACAGGAGCCTGGCCTTGCTGCGCCTGCTGGGCCTGGAAGTTCTGCTGCTGGGGGTATTGTTGTCCGTAGTTGGGGTATCCTCCTTGCTGACCGCCGTATTGCTGGCCGTATTGCGGGTAGCCTTGCTGCTGTTGGTAGCCACCATATTGCTGACTACCGTATTGGTTGTAACCGCCAGTTGCCCGTACTGGTTGTAGCCCTGGTAGCCTCCTGGCTTGGCTGGCCGTACTGTTTGTAGCCCTGGTAGCCTCCGTAGGCTTGGCCGGGGACGAATGTGCTGGCGCCGGGCGTGAATGTCTGGGCGCCTGGTTGTGAAAGTTGGGTGTTGAGTGTGTTGAGGTTCATGCCCGGCGCCTGCTGCGCGAGGCGCTCCTCTTCTTGCTCCCGCTATCAGCCATGGTGACGTCGGTCTCGCGGGATGTATCGTGTCGATCGGGGGGTGTGGTGCGACGGCGTGCGAATTTGGACGACTGAGTCGGCTCGTAGGTGAAAGTGCGTGAAGTCGACCCGCCAGCCGGCGAAGCGACTATCTTGGTATATAACGGACGGGCGTCGATGTCGTCGTCGAAAGTGAAAATGGCCGGGTCGCTGCTGCCCACGCAGGATTTGGCGGGGTTGCTTTGGGTGGCTGTGTGGGGGCTGCTCAACGCCTCGCTGCTAAACATTGGCCAGGGCGCCCAGCAACAAAGGCACTCACCAACCTCCAAACATTCACTTGTCGTCACTTGCCGCCACATATCCCGGTTGCGTTCCCGGCAACCTGACATTCTGACCTCATGGTTCCTCTCTCCCAACCACTTCATCAACCGCCCCTTCCACACATACAAGGGTGAAGCCCAATCCATATGGCAAGATGGAGGCAATCTTAGCAAAGTACGACTATGCTTTGACTCCCAACACGTCATAGCAGACCAAGAGTCCTTTTCTCGTATTCTTGAATTATGCTGACATGTGATATGTCCCCAGAGCTATGAGCTAGCTATCCGAAGCGTATAGCATCACCACACTATGTCGCTTAAGCAATGTGGTCGACTGATGAAGACGTCGATGGCCGAGAAAAGCAGGAACTCGCTACTCTGCAGTTGAGAC